GTGGTCAGCAGGCTGCCGCCGTCGGGGACCGGCACCGGGATGGAGTAGGGGCTGTAACGCAGGCGGGGGCGCATGGTGTTCAGGTTGAGGAAGGGGTGGCGGTGCACCGAGCTGGACGCCGCCGCAGAGGAGGCCGCGGCGGCCGCGGCCATGTACGTGTACGGGTAAGGGAACAGGCTTCCGAAGGGCGACATGGCCAGGCCCTGGGGGGGAGAGAGGCAGAGGCGAGTGAGCGGGGAGGGGCCCGCCCGGCGGTCTCCTTCCCCATCCCCTGGGGACCCGGAGCCTCAAGTCCTGCTGCTCTCTCCCCGGGGCGGGGGGAGGACGCTCAGGCTTATGCCTCTCGCCCCAGATCTTAGCTGCGTCACCCTAGGCGGGGGTACGTCCCTCCATGTGCCTCAGGTTTCTTGCACGAAACAACAACAACAACAGGGAAATAGTCAATAATTCATATACTATTGGGAACTTGGTGGACATCAAATGAGGTAATGCCTCCAAGAGGCCACCCAGGGCGCCTGGCCAGCAGGACTGCGAGAAAATCGCCCGGCAGGGTCAGCGGTTGCACCTGTCAAATGGGACCACAGTCCGTCCGTCCGTCTGCCTACCCCACCGCGGTCCTGAGTACGGACCGGAGGGCAGACACGATTAGGCGTAATTCTTTTTCATTCTTGGGCCCCTCCCGAACCCTTCCATTCCGACCCTAGAAGTTTCTCTCTCTCACACACACACACACAAAATCCAGGGAAAATCTCAAGCAAAAAAATAAAAATAATAAAAAAATGGGGAGGGGGAGGAGCATGGTGTTTGCTATAAACAGAGACAAGGCAAGAAGTCGCCCAGCCTGATACGCTGGTGTTACAGGGAGAGAAACCAAGGTAGGCCCCAGGGGCACAGAAAGTCAGAGAGCAAGTGGCAGAAAGTAGCCTGGAAAATCCAGGGGCCCTGAGCTGGGCCACTTCTCGGTCCCTCGCCTTGAGGTAAACTTGTTCGCCCAGAACAACAGCCCCTGGCGCCCACATCACCTGCCCACCTAGGACGGGGTCTCCAGGAGGGGCTGACGGAGGGGAGGAGATGGCAGGAGCTGAGAAAGGCCAGAAACCAGCCCTTGTCTCAGTCCCCTCCTCCCCCTGGAGAGCGAGGCCAATCCTGCCTCTTGGCTCAGGGAAGGGAGACAAATGTGCTCAGACAAAACATCAGGCAAGGGCGTGCAGAAAACCCCACAGAACCTTTTCACCAGTTCAGAGCGTTTCCAAGTGGCCTGAGACTTCTCCCAGGCCGCCCCGTGCCCCGGCACAGCTGTCTGAGCCACGCGGAGGCTGCCAGGCTGTCCCTCAACTCCGACGTTTCCCACGTGTGCACAGACCATTAACCCTTTGGGGAACAGGCTGGCCGGCTTGGAACGGGGGCAGGGGACAAGCTTCACGCTGGGAGGGACCGGCCGGAAGACCGAAAGAGTCAGTTCCCACCCAGGGAGCCGCTTCCTCTCCCCTGGCCTCAGTTCTCCCCCTGGTTCAATTCCCGAGGGAGGACTGGCTGTGAGACGCTTAAAAAGAGACGTTTCAACTCTGAAGCTAAACATCACAGACCCTGGAAAAGGCCCTGGCGTCAGACTGCCTGGGGTAGAGGGAGCCTTAGCTCCGCCACCTACCAGCTGTGTGACCTTGGATAAGTTCCTCAACGTCTCTGGGCCTCGGCTATACAGTGGGGGTGAGAGCAGTGCCACTGAAGTGGGGCCAGATCAAGGACTTAGAGGAGCTCCCGGCACAACGTGAAGCGCTGTGGGTCCCTTTTATTACCTACCTACCTACTCTGCTGTCAACAGCCCTTCACTTCGAAAAACAAAATGTATTTTTTTGAGGGGGGGGCAGGTGTAAGATTACGATGAATCCAGGAGATAAACCTTCCACCTAGCAATTACCATTATTGTCATTTAAAGCCACCAGACCAGGGGGACTGGGTGAGGGTCTGGTGCCAGGGGCAGGGAAACTTAGAGGGGCCCCGGAGAGGGGCTGGGGAGGGGGGACATGAATACCTGCGAGGCCAGGACGTGCTGCTGGAGGTGGAAGGGCAGGGTGGCCGCCGACGCCCCCGACAGTCCCTGCGCCGCGGCTGCAGAGGCCATGGCCGTGGAATCCAGGCCGGACACGCCGGTGGAGGCCCCGGACACGGTGGCCAGCAGGGGTCCCATGCCCGCCGCCATGCTGGAGAAGGCGCCCCCCATGGCGAACTGGCTGGGGTGCAGAAAGAGGGGGTGCCCGTTGAAGAACTGCTGGCCGGCCAGCCCCGGGGCGAAGCCGAGGCCGGGCAGGGGGCCCTGGCCCAGGTGCGCGGGGGC